ACGCTGTTGAAATTTGGAAGGAACTGAGTGAGATCTTAAAAAGAGAAATATGCAATGACAGACTTAAATTACAAGTATTAAAAAAATGAATGGGACAAGCATTATCTCCAGCTCATTTTCTTGCAAATATTCTTCAGCAGCTAAGGTCTGACCCTGGTACCGAGTATTGAGAAGAGGAGTAGGCTATGACATGGACATCCAGCAATCATCCCTCCATAATGCCAACTATAATAAACTTCAGAGTGAAGGGTGAACCACTCAAGAAATATATGTTTGCTGCTGATGTTTTAAAGAAAATCACACCAGTGAACTGGTGGAAGTCACTTAAATACTTGGATTCAGAGACTGTTGAAGTGATAATCTCACTTTTAACAGTAGTAGCTTCTTCTGCCGGTGAAGAAAGAATATTTCCTTTCTTTGGACTAATTCATTCCAAATTGAGAAATCGTTTGGGACCTGAAAAAGCAGGAAAGCTTGTTTTTCTTTTCCAGATTATGAACAAACAGGAAAATGAAGGTGAAGACGACTGAGTTAGCTGCAGAAGCCAATATTTTAAGTTTCTCATGTTGACCTGGCTGACATAAATGAAATATTTAAAAAAAATAATAATAATTAAGTAATAACTTACTTCTGTGCTGCTGCGAGTGACGGCACTGCCTTCAGAGCTGGGCAGCTGGAGAATGGTGGCTGTTGGCCAGGAGCCCAGCTCTGAAGGCAGAGCCATCACCAGCAGCAGTGCAGAAGTAAGGATAGCATGGTATGGTATTGCCACCCTTACTTCTGCACTGCTGCTGGCGGGACGCTGCCTTCAGAGCTGGGTGCCCAGATAACAGTTGCTGCTCTCCAGCTGCCCAGCTCTGAAGGCAGTGCAGAAGTAAGAGTGGCAATACCGCGCCTCCCTTAAAATAACCTTGTGACTCTCTCCCCACCCCACAACTCCCTTTTGGGTCAGGACCCTGAATTTGAGAAATGCTGGTCTCCCCTCTGAAAAGCACACATAAGACCAGATTTCATGGGGGGAGTCCAGATTTCACGGTTTGACACATTTTTCATGGCCGTGAATTTGGTAGGGTCCTACCCATGAGGCATTGCAAACCCTTCCCAAAGCACCCTGCAGCTAGTTGCACAGTGGGATAGCTACCCACAGTGCACTGCTCTCTCTGTCGATGCAAGAGTTGCTATTGTGGATATGCTCCACTGACACAAGGACCATAGTGTGGAAATGCAACAGCGGTTTAATTACAGCAATGGCTGTACATCGTCATAACTTGCGCTGACAAAACTCTCTAATCTAGACCAGGCCTTAGTTTCCTATTGCTGCTATTTTATTTACTCTTGATACTCTAATCTGTCTAAGCAGTCACTTCTGGTTTTACTCTGTGCTATATAAACAAGATTTGCCTCTACTGATAGCCTGAGCTAATGAAAGAGCTATTCCACTATTTTTTTTCCTTATAGAACATGATATCTTACTAAATCATATTATTTTTTGGAATTTATACCTGTCTGCACAGCAGTATCTTTCCGAGGAGAGGTTACGGTTTTTACATCTTGATGCATCTTACTGCTCACTTCATCAGAACAATGATCATGACTTACATTTGAAAGGCCAGTATTATAACTCTCACATATTTTATCACCTAAAAAGGAAGAAACAAGTGACTTAAGTAAGCAATTTTCTATTAATGGTCTATATAAATCACACTATCAAGTTAACCCTATCCCTGTAGTTTAATAATTAGGGCTTCCGGGTTCTAGTCCTGACTCTGCAGTTGGCTCACAGTGTGACCTTGGCCACATTTCTTAGCCTTTCTGGGGAAGATTTTCAAAAGAAATTACAGGACTTAGGCATGCAAGTCCCTCTGAAAGCCAAAACAGTTGTACTTGTGCTCCTGAAAATCTTCACTTGTGTCTTTGTTCCATTATAAAAGATGGATGCTGCTGCTTGGTGTTTGAGGCTTGATTAACATTATATATGTTTAACTTTTTGAGGTACTTGACTGAAAGGAGTTTAAAAGGATAAAAGTTTTGTTCAGTTTCTGAAGCCAAGGAGCAATGACTAGACTGACAGGATGTTTTTTTCTCAAAAATAGGATCCACAGCTCATGCAACCCCCCCCCCCCAAAATAAAATGAAATATATTAAAGTTTGGTACTTGCCGCCGCCACCCCCACCCCCAAGATTCTTCTGCAGTTTTGAGATGTCATGTCCTTTTTGAGCCAACTCTCGAATACGTTGTTCCTGTTTCAATCTCTGTGCCTGTTCTTGTGCTCTCTGCATTGTCTGATAGAGCTCATTTGTTTTAAGAGTCATGATTTCCTATCATAAAAAGGGAGACAAATGCATGAGATCATTTAGTCGGAGAATAAAATAAACAGGGTTGCATAATCTCCTATAAATTTACATCTATTCATGATTTTTTATATTTGGGTATTTTTTTAAGTGAGCAAAAGAAATAATAGAGATGCAAAGATCTTTATGTGAGGCTAACGGAGAGCTTAGTGCCAGCACTGTAGCAGCATAAAGAACTAGACTATGTTGTGATTCCCCTGTATCATGTGACTTGAAGGGAAGCAAAGAAGCATGTATTAGAAAACTGTGCACTCTATACTTGTGGCAGAGAAACAGCAAGTCATCCCCAAGCAGAGATGCTCCTTCACACTTTTAAGGCTCTGTGGGTTTAAGGTGCAGGAAATGGAGCCAGGTAACAGCTCCTCTCAGCACATTACAGATTTCAGAGTGGAAAGAAGTGCCGGAGTTCTGGTCTCCTCTGTGGCTCTTAGTGCATGTTGGTAAAGGGAGGGGAGCATCTGACGGCAGTAAGTTTCCTGAAGGAGTTGTGCTGCTTGAGGGAAGTGAGTCCAGTAAAGCAGGTCATCTGTACAGGATCTCACTCCCTAAGACCTATAGGGATGCCTCTGATTTCCTTGCAGAATCTGGAGCCCTATGTGGCTTGAGATATACCTGCACGATGCCTTCCTTGAACCCCACAACATCTCCTCCAAAAGAGGAGAATAACTCAAGTTATGTGGCTCAAAACATCAGCTAAATAATTTTATCTTAATTTTATTCCTTCCGCACATTTGTCCATAGGGGGTAAGGATGGGGTCCCTAGAACACTACGTTTGAATCCACCAATGGGTGAGAGGGCTTCTGCCACTGGAAGATTGAAATAAAATGTATATGGAGTGTTTTGTGTGGTGGTCTCAAAGTATTCTAGTACCTCCAGAATGTGTCATTGATTTTTTGACATGACATTACTAAAATTTATTGGGCGGGGGGGACGGGACTTCAGCCCTGACATGACACATCTAGTCAAGTGCATTACATGACATTTGTGTGGTCTCTCAAAGCATCAAGCTACAGACAAATACTCCAGTTAGGTATTCCCAGATGCTATTAGAGCTCAAAGCAGTTTTTGCTGTTTTAACTAAAAATTTTAAAAATCCTATTTTGGGTACAAAACATTGCCTAAGACTTTATCTTCCCCAGCTTTATTTAAAACTATTTGAGGTTTTTGTCCCTCTTGGTGTCGTCTTGTGAAAATTGCCTCGACCTCAAATCACCCCCACCCACCAAAAAGAAACCACAACCAACCCCTCAAACTAGCGAGTACCCAAAATGAATTATATTGGTGAGGAGAGAGATTTCAGTTTAATGCATGTGAAGTTAATAAGTTCATATTTTTTAATTATGGAAAAATAGGTGGACAATGTCCTTTCTAAAGTGAAAAAAAAACTTGAGGTGGTGTTGGGGGGGAGTAAGGCAATACTTTCCCCTCACAATAGGGTGGTATTAGTGCTGACTTAATTTTCTAGGCTTTCTAATTTAATCAAAAACGGTGGCTAACATTTTTGAATCAATCCTGTGGGTTCTGTCACATCTTCCATTCAAATATTAAAAACTAGTAATTTATGTTAACAGAAGTGTGGCAAAATCCCCTACACTGCTTCAAAAATCTCAAGATTTTCGACCTTAACTATAGTCACAAATAGAATTTCAACACTAGTCTTGCCTCATGCATTAGATAATAGTATTATTTACTATTTATTTCTAAGTCTATTAGGCATTGGCAGTTCTATTAAACACTGTCCTTTACTTGCACAAAGTAAAGGCTTAACACCCACTTCCTTTTGTTTTTGTTTGAGCATATCCTCTTCAAACTGTTTTTGCATCAGTTCTCGTTCTCGTGCTAAGCGGTGTTCTTCTTGTTGTTCTTCCCATTTTCTTTGCTCTTCCTCCAGCTGCTTCTTTCTTCGCTTTTCCTCTACTTGAGCCATTATAGCTTTCTAGTGATGTCAAAATCGTAATAAAATTTAGTAAAATTAACACTTAGTAGTATGCATAATATAAAATGTATTACATAATTTCAGGGGCATGTGTGTACACCCTCGCACACCCTGTGAGATTTTTTAAAAATTGTATTTTGTTTTGCCATACTTTCTGCTGAATAGGTTTACCTGCCAGAGAGCTACGTTTCA